AATCATTTGCTATTACAGTTACAATGAAGATACAACTAGCCACACATGCACCTTTTGAGTGCCTATTTAAGTAGTCTAGCCGCAAGTTCTACACTAGATGCCGTACCTATAACCTGACTAGGGAGTTATCTATTTAAACCTTCTAATCCTAACTGTTTTTAGTATATCATACTAACCTGGGAACTACTATCTGGCCCATTCTACTAGATTGCATACCTTGCCTTAGGACTTCCATAACTTATCCTGGGTTTGCACTGACTAATTACCGGCTTGCATTCCTCCATTAAGCAGACACATGGCTATCCTCGAGGTAAACCTACTGGAGCCTTCCGTATCCCGTATCTGGCTGACCCAGTCATCACAGTTGCCGAGGCTTCTACTCGCAGTTTGGTATAACCTAATTGAACCACTATGTCCTTGTAAGGTTCACTTCAACCCCAGTACTTACATTTGGGTCTTCCTTTTTCCGTAATTACCTTATTGGTCCCTCCCTTACTCCCAACCTGTGACCTGGAAGATTCAACCCTGGCTAGGCTCTAAGTGCCTTATGCCCTGTCTTATCATGGTATATGATTTTATAGCACATGTCCTTTTTCTCCAATTGGGTCTGGCTAGTTTTCAGGGATCACCCAGCCCTTGTCGTTAGGTAGAACCTAACTTCCAAATTCTAGTCACGGTGGATAGCCACCCCAGTTTCCCACGCTGGCTAACTAGGTTGGTGTGCTACCCTTCTCTCCAATTGGTGGTCAGATTAGTAGATCCCCCACTTAAGGATCTTGTTGTCATTCGGTTCTCCAATCTCAGCTATTACTTCTAAATTTAGCCTTCCTGTAGTACTGTCGAAAGTATTGCTACCTTCTTACTCGGGTCTTCCTAAATGGGTTTCGATTATCCTGGTTTCTTGGCATTTCTGTGCCGAAGCTTTCATAATGAGATGGTACAACCAAGATTACAGATTGTAGATCCAACCGATTGATGAATAATCGTTATCTAATGCAGATTTATTTTTTGAAAAATATCGCCCATGGAATTCAAACTCTAGACCTGCTGCTTGGTAGAGTGATGACTAGACCACTTTACTAAGCTGCCACACCCGGCATCTTACTATATTATTTGTTTGTTTTTGTATTCTGTATATGTTTTTGTGTATCTAACACGTTCTGTTTGTTTTGTTGTTTGTTTGTCTATTTATATTTGTTTACTTAATTGTATTGATCATATTGTCTAAATCTGTTTGTTTTGTTTTGTCACTTTGTTGTTGTTGTCAAGATTCTGCAGAACCAGGTTATAGCAAATTCCCAGTTTTCTAAAAAAAATTTTTCTAAATTTTTGTTAAAAAATTATATTTTCATAGTTAGAAAGCACCAGTTGTTGAGATATTTTAATTTAAAAATTAAAAAAAATTACTAAAAATGATTTGTTCCTTTTCTATTGACTTACCCCCATATACCAAGAGAAGGGAGACCGTAAGACATCTAAAGCCTGGACAGACTAACCCTTCCAGGTTGCCGGCTGAAAGTAAGGGAGAGACCGGTAAAGAATCCAAGGAAGAAAGAAAGTCTGAATATAGGTACTGGGGTTGTGCGAACCTTACAAGAGTGAGGAGTACATAATAGAAAACTAATTAGGAAGGTAGTGGCTTGAAATATGGATCGGGTTACAGCAGTATTCTAAAGGATAGCTTGAGATACGAATCTGATAACAGCAGCACAACAGGTACTAGTTAGAGGAAATTACTAAACATGCAGGTATAAATATATAGACTACTCTATTAGGTTTACCTTATAGATAAATTAGCCAGAAATGGTTAGTAAATCCTAAGGTGAGTGCGAAATCTACAGATATCGCAAAAACCTACATATGAATAGTGAGTTATATCTTGGTTAGTTTAGAAACAGATGGCAGTTGTGACTAAAGAGTTTAAATAAGTATCCTCATAGTTGGGATGCAGGTATGGCAGCTAGTGTGGAACCTAGAGCAGACTACTTAAATAGGCAACTAAAAGTTGTATATATAGCTAGTCGTACTCTTATTAGTAATAATCAAAGAGCTTAAATAGATAACCTTCTAGTTAGGTTGCAGGTATGGCAGCTAGTATAGAACCCAAGCGGACTACTTAAATTAGGTACCAAAAGTACACGTGTGGCTTGATATATTCTTGTTATAACTATATAACCTGAAGTTAATAAGTCTAATAAAAAGTTTTTGGCCATAGAGGTTACCTTAATACTCCTCCAAAAAAATATATATATATACATATATATCAGTATTATTTTTTTTTATATATATAGTTGATTTTAAATATAACAAACTATATATTCTGAATCTTTTTGTTTAATATAAAGTAAGTTTATTATATAATATACTTTCTTTATACTAAACTGTTTGGTATATAAAGCCAATTAATAAAGTTTTTTACAAAACTAAAATGTTTTTAAAAATATTTAGAATTTTACTTAAAATTTTGCTTGTTCATTGCAAAATTATACAATAGTTTGCTATATATACATAGTTCTGGGTTGGTAAAAAAGAGTTTAAATATGGTATATAAAAATTTACTATTTAAGTTCAGTATAGCCAGCCTAATTTATTAATTCGCTCTGCCAAATTCGGTTCGTTATAGCCCGATTTCGGTATAAGCAGGTTCGGTATATCCAGAGTCGACTGTATATATATACGTATAAATAAGATCTACCGTGAGTAGTAAATATTATCGCATTTCGCATAATTTAATTAATATCGATATACCGTATATATACTGTATATATTTTCATACCAATATGCCGTACGTACCTAATACGCACAGTATTTCAAAATCTCGATCTAGTAATTAGAATCAAACGATTTTGGTATCTCGATCTGTTTCATTATTAAGACAATCTGATGATGATAATAATCATTATACAGTATATACGGTATTATCATCGACATTATTATAATCAACGTCATTGTTATCATGATACTTATTACGTACAAAAACAAAATAATGAAATAATAAAATGTTACGTATATTGAACAAATCTAACGTTAACCCGTGTTTGTAAATTCCAATATATATACGTAGTCATTATACCAAATATTAAAAAAAATCAACTAAGTATGCAAACCTTTCGAAAAAGGAAATGCGTATATTAGATTGTTTGATACAATGTGTCATAATTTAATTAAGTCATTCGATCTATCGCTATATGTATTATCATCTCATAATTATTTGACCTCATTTGTACAAAATATTAACTTATAAAAAGATCGCAATAATTATTCATACCACAAATTACTTAAAACACTTATAAAGATTGCAATAATGATAATTATTCATACCACAAAAAATCACTTAAAACACAACTTATTAAAAAGATTGCAATAATTATTTATACCACAAAAAATCACTTTAAAACACGATAATTTTAACAATCTTTTTTTTTTTTTTTTTTATATATTTAATGTATACAATTTTGATAACTTTTTTATTGCATTTGGAACGGATTTAACATTAAATGCGGTAAGCAAAAAAAAAAAGGGGGGGTAAAGGAAAACAAACTGTACATAAAAAAAGAAAAGTAAACATACACCATTCTTTTTTAGAGAAAACTACAAATAAGCATATGCAAAAAATATATATATATAATAATAATAATAATAATGTAACAATTTTTAACAGATGGATGAATGAAAGAACGTTGACGCGTGGAAAATATGAAAATCAAAATTTCCCAGTCCACATAAATGTCCACAAAAAATAAAAAAGAGAACAAGAAAGAAAAAAACGAAAATCTCTTCAAATAAGGGAATGACAATGTTGAGAATATTAAAAACTTCCAAATATCCATCAGATTGAAAGTTATAAATTTAATATCTCATCAATCCAGAACCAGGTGGACCATTAACATGGTTTGTCATGTGTGGAGGTACCTGTACATTTGATATTGGCATTGTTCCTTGCACACCGTTAACAGGAACACCTGTAAGGGCCGAATTAGGAATGCCAGGCACCATACCCATCGGACCGATACTCATACCATTCATACTTGGAGGAATTCCTTGAGAGGAAGGTGGTATCGAATCTAAACCCATAACACCATTAGCTTGCGCAATAGGACAATCTTTGTGAGCAAGTAATAAAGTTTTTAAATTGATAATCTCTTCACGTAAAGATTGAGCTTGATTTTGTAAATTTTCGTTATCGTTGGTAAGGTATTCTACTTTGGCCTGTAAATTGGCCAACCATTGCTTTTTACGCTGACGACATTTAAGGGCAGCTATAAATTAAAATAAAAAATTAGAAAATTTTAAAATAAATAAATATATACAAATAAAATGATTAAATATAAATTAATATACATCATTAATATACATTACCTTGACGATTTCTTTCCAAAAAGTTTCTTCGTTTTTCTTCATCAGTCATTTCATTTTTAACTTTTTGACCATTTTTCTTTGAAGGAGGTTGTTCTTTTACGAGAGGTTCTTCAGCTTTTCGCCTTGAACTACGAGGACTAGATTTCATAGAGCTTGAACTTCCCAATTTATTAGATGAATCCTCATCCATAGAATCGGACATGATTGAGGATTTACGAGTAGGTATATTTGAATTTATAGTATTAGAATGTCTTCCATTATGTAAATTTGTAATGATATTATTTGAATGTGAAGGAAAATCATCATTCTCAGTTTTTGGTAAGATATTATCTGAAATAATTGGATTTCTACTTATCAAATCTTGTTGAGGAGCGCAAACCATATTTCTATTGTTAAGGGTAGGATTTGTAACGAGAACAGATTGATTTAAAGGATTTTGAACGATAACATTTGAAGCAGAAGAAGTTGAAGAACCATTTGTCATATTTAAAATATTTGTTGTAGGTAAACCAGGTTGTATAACACCAGATTGAGAAGTTGAGACGTTAGTAACAGGAGGAGCAGAAGTAGCAGGATTTGAAGGGATTGATTTACGATCAGAATCAGAGAGAGGACGATTGAAATTGCCACGACCGAAAGGATCAGTAGAAAGAACAGGAAGAGGTTGATTAACGAAATTATTAGCAGGATTACTGAAAGGATCAGAGAAAGAACCGAAAGGAAGAGGAGTAGTTCCGGTACGACCAGGTTGAGAAAATTCATTAAGTAAGGTAGCATCCTGAGGACCGGTAAGCATAGAAGGAGATAAAGCACCACTTCTTAAAGATTGTAAGCTCCAACCATATTGCTCATCACTTGCCCCCGGAATACCAGGACTTGCAATTTGTGATACAGGTGGTAGACTCGGTTTTGGACTATTAGTCCCTACATCGCTTGGAATAGGAGCAACACCGGAAAAACTTTGTTCGAAAGGATTAGGTTCCAAGTCAAGTTTTGAGCATGAGGCCAAAAATCGTGTAGGAGTTTGTTCAATGGTAGGAGGAGGAATATCTTTTTTTTGGAAATTATTTTCGGATTGATTTTTAGGTGAAGGAGCGGATGTAATAGATTCATTATTTTGTGATTCAGGAGATTTAGTAGGGAATGTAGTAGATACATCAGAATCTAATTTTTATAATTATAATAATAATAATAATTATAAAAAAAAGAAAAAAATTATTATTATTTTTTTTTTTTTAATAAATAATAAAATGAGAGATATTTTTTATTAAAAGATCTTAAGAGAAAATTTCCAAACCTTACGATTTGGTATAACTCACCATCGCCGCCCGATTCCGGGGAATACATTGTTTTTCGATATTAATTTAAAAAAAAAAAACAAAAATGAAGTTTCTAAAACTGATATAAAAATTATGATGATAATATCGATAATATCGATAATATCGATATTATTACAATAGTTAATTTAATGATTAAGAATACGGATGAATAAGAAAATGACATATAAAACTTGTAAATACCTTTTTTAAGGTTGAAAGAAAAAAAATTTATAAATTTATATATACGTAATATTATATAGTCGATAGAAGATCGTTTTTTTTTTCTATTCTTTTGAAAATCAAACTATCAAATGTCAGATAAGGATTGTAAAATAAAATAGATCACTTAAAAAGTGACCTCAAGTAAAGTTGATTTACGAATTACACTTCATTTAAAAACTTTGTGGTAATGAAATAACCACATACCGTTTGTATATAAAGTTGAGATAGTAATATGAGCGGGATCTTTTCTAGCTAGTGTTTTCCCCCAAAATATAAGCACAAAATAAAATAGATAAAAAAAGAATAGTAAGAAAGAGAGATTTAAATTTTTTAAAAATTAATATAGGAGGTTACAATAAAATTCAGAATACGCGGTGCGATTAAGAATAGTAAATGTTACCTATTTAAAAAAAAAAACCGAACTTTTTTTAAACCAGGTTTATGGTTGAAAAAAAAAGGAAAAAAAAAAATATAAAAGTTTAACCTTTGTTTGTAATAAAGTAACCGAGTTTCTCTAATAATCAGAAATTAGAAGTACTGGAGGACGATATCGATATAAGTTGAACGTGTGAGAGCTTTTCCTCCTACATAAAAAAGGTCACCCATTATTAAAAAGAAATACATATTGGTACCCCGAATTGAAAAAACTTAACAGTACATAAGCACTACATAAGCCGAAAACTTCAAATTACCATAAGTGAAAAATGTGAAATATCGATATGGGTATTGAATCAACAAGAACAATATATAGTTACAGTAAATTTGGGAATATCAGATATGACCACATTGGCTCGTTGGCGCAGCCTTTGAATTATAATTAAAATATATTTATATATATATTAATATATATTAATATATATTAATATATGTATATTTTATTCAATTTATACAATAAAATACAATATCGATATTACACAATACAGTTTCAATACAGTAAATACAGCCAATACAGTAGTATAAATCACAAATTGAGATATACCATGTATTTATATTTTGACCATGCGGAAAATATTGACCAGTGATATGACTTAATCTTTACGTCATAGGGTTATTAATTTGCCTCATTAAGATTTTTCCCCGGCAATCTGTCTCGTCCGTTAAACTAGTTTCTTGTAAGATGAACGTTTGTTAAAGTTGCTCGCTTTGCATCGTACAACATAAGTTTAACGAACAAAATTTCTTCATTAACTTTCTTACTTGGTAATTGAGCGATAGAATTTATGTTTCAAAAATTATTTTGAATTAAAAAAAATTTTTTTGTGTAGCGTAAACATGAATGCTGATTTGATTTCAATTTTTTCGTCCTACTTATTTTACTTATTACACATAAATTGGACCGGTTTACTGTATTTTTTTTTTTTTTTTTCTTTTGAACCGGCATATGTTTAATGCAATAAACATTACTTTGCGGCAATGATGGCTGAAAACACTACATTAAATCTTCTTTTAGATTTCATACAAATTTATTAGTCATGGGTCTGATAAATAAAACATCTTGTAGCGTAGCATTATTTTCCCGCCAACTTTAGTTATTTCAGGTTTTTCTCGCCGCACAGACTGTGATTTATAAAGTTGGCCACCCCCCTATAATTCTGCCCGGGCGCCATTGCTGTTTGATCACATGTGATAATCAAAATCCTTGTGAAATCCTTAATTTTTTTTTTTTCCGTGAAAAAAAAAAAAATGCCATCGGCTACCGATTCAAAGAAATCCATTATTGGACTTAGAATAGGTCAAAGTTACTCTAGTATTGCTATAATTAATAAAGTACAAAAAAGATTAATTCTGCTCACAATATTCATATTATCAATCAAAAACTTCTTACAAGTATTAATTATCTTTTTCATTAATAAAGGATGGAAGAGCGGATTGTATAGCTAACGAAGACGGTGAGCGGCAAATACCAACACTGGTTGCATTTGCAGGTGAAGAAGAGGTAAAACTATTGTTGATTTACCAAATGATCGATTGTTAAGGTTATTGCTTTTTTTTACCTTAGCATTTCGAATTTCGAATATAGCTTGCAGGAACTCAAGCGAAAGCTCAATTGCTAAGTAATTCTAAAAATACCATTTCTCAATTTCGTAATTTTATCGGAAAAAGGTGATTTACGAAATTTCTTGATTTAAATAATAATGTAATTAATTGGTCTAAATAATAAGAAATAATAAGTTGTTGAATTTTTTAATAGTTTTGCCGAATGTAATTCTTCTGCATTAAAGGGAACTGCTCAATTAGTTGACAAGGATGGTGTAGCTGCATATTCTGTAGAATTTATGAATAAGGATTCAATTTTTACTGTTCAGGAAATCACTACAAAATATATCACAAGTCTTCGTGAAAGTGCTGAAAATTTTTTGGGCCAACCAGTCGCTGGTGTTGTTCTTGCCATTCCTACTTATTTTACTGATTCTCAACGTTTGGCCCTGAAAGATGCAACTGAAAAAGCTGGATTACGTGTTTTACAACTGATTAATGAACCTGCAGCTGCTATATTGGCTTACGAGTCAAGCATGAAGCCTGAAGAATATGATAATAACTTACATAATGATAGAACCGCTTTAATACTTGATTTGGGTTCTGATAGTCTTGATGTTACGGTGATGTCTATTCGTTCAGGCATGTTTACTATATTAGCTACCACCCATGATCCTGATCTTGGCGGTGCCGCTTTCGATGACCTTCTTGTGAATCATTTCGTAAATGAATTCAAACGTAAAACTCAGATTGACATTTCACAAAATAAACGTGCCTTGGTTAAATTGAGAAATGCTGTAGAAATTACAAAAAAGACTTTATCAAGTAGTTCAACTTCTCCATGTTCGGTAGAATCATTAGCTGATGGCATAGATTTCCATGGATCGATTAACAGAACTAGATTTGAAATCATGTCAAATAAACTTTTTACAAAGATTTTAGATGTTATTTCTAATGCTTTAAAAGAAAATAATTTAGATACTCAATTAATTGATGAGGTAATAAGAAAATAATGTCTATCTTGAATTTTTTAATATTATATTTTATTAATATTATATTTTATTAATATTATATTTTATTAATATTATATTTTATTAATATTATATTTTATCAA